AAAACAAAATCACCGGAATTTCAGTACTGGGAGTACCAAAAAGTCGAGATGCAGCTGCAGTACATGACCAACGATGAATGCAGATCGGACTTCAGAGTGGACTTGGCAGATCTAGCTGTCTTGGCAGAAGCTTTGAGAATCCCGGAGAAGTTTGTTTGCCCCAACCGGACGGTGGCAACAGGGATGGAAGGTCTTTGCGTTGCTCTTAGGCGTTTTGCTTATCCCTGCAGGTTCAGTGACATGATACCTCGCTTCGGTCGCTCTGTTTCAGAGTTGTGTTTGATCGCTTCAGAGGTGACTGACCATATATATAATACACATGGTTATCTTTTGACCGATTTAAACCAACCTTGGCTTCATCCTGATCGTCTTCAAGAATATGCTAACGCAGTTCACGACGCTGGTGGCGCTTTGGAGAACTGTTGGGGATTTGTCGATGGCACAGTAAGACCTATCTGTCGCCCTGGAGAAAACCAGCGCGTCATGTATAATGGCCATAAACGTATCCATGCCATCAAGTTTCAATCTGTTGTGGCACCTAATGGCCTTATTGCAAATCTTTATGGTCCAATAGGTACATTTTATATTAAATAATATAGTGTAATGCATTACTTATTTCCTACAGTGTCTAACCATACAGTATATTCTTATAGTGTATGGATTTAATAATTTTTGCATACACTTATATATTTTATAGTACTTATACTTTATATACTTAATATATGTGCTTTTGTTTTTAGAAGGAAAACGACATGATGCCGGGATGTTAAGAATGTCCGGCCTTCTTGACCAACTGGATCAACATTGTAATACCCCCCTTGGTGACCCTCTATGTATTTACGGAGACCCTGCTTACCCATTAAGAAGACATCTCCAGAAGCCATACCAGCATCCTAATCTTGATGAAAGGCAACTTGAGTTCAACCGGTCGATGAGTTCCGTTCGGGTTAGTGTTGAATGGGTTTTTGGTGACATTATTAATTATTTTAAGTTTATGGATTTTAAGAAGAATTTGAAAATTGGATTGAGTGCTGTTGGGAAGATGTATTCTGTGTGTGCCCTTTTGCGAAATGCATTAACTTGTCTTTATGGCTCAACTACAAGTTCTTATTTTGGTGTTGACCCTCCTACGCTGCAAGAATATTATCAACTAAATTAGAATGTGGTAGTGAATAGACTTTATGCACAATGACATCACAAGACTTGATGCCTGTGGGGAATGCTGGTCTTAGTAGTCATTGCTTGGGAAAATTTCAATGGTGGCCATTTTTAATTGTTTAACTTTCCTGGGCAATGACTACTAAGACCAACATTCCTCATGGGCATCAAGGCTTCTGATGTCATCATGCATAAGGTCTATTACACATGTAAGAACACACAAGTTGTTACAAGCCTGCGGCAGACTTATGACCAAATTGCTGCCTTGCTACAAGCTGGGACGTAGTGAAGCATCTGAAGTTGGGGGGAGGATGTTGGAGGATTTTACCTGAAATTTGAATTTCAATGTTAAAAATTTACCTGAAGCATAATAATTATAATAAAGCTTGTACATTTTTACATTTTTGAAAAATTACTCTAGGACTGCATTTCTGGCATTTTCTAAAACAAATTTGAAAACAAATTGGATGTAAATTGATTGTATTTTACAAAAATGGTTATCGTTTCACAAAAGTAATTACTTTAATATGCAAATTTTACCTGAAATTGTCAAAATTTTAACTTGAATTTTACCTGATCATTATTTTTGCCATCTGGAGTTTCACAGTTGGGGTCACCCTCCCACATTCTCTGGTTGCTACGTCCCTGGCTACAAGCTTGTTCCAGTAACTTGTTATTGTCTTGCAATTCAACAATTTGTTAACAAGTTGTGAGTGACAAGCTTGTAGCGACTTGACAAAATATTGGCATTATTATAACTAATGTTGACATGCTTGCCTTGCCACAACCTTCGTGCAAACACAAGTTGTTGGTTAGATAATGCTTATTAAATAGCAAATTCAGCCTGCCAGCAATGCTCTACTAAATGAAAATGTATGCTTAAAATTAACTCCGGCTTTGATTATAGAAATCCTGTCTGTTAAGCATTGTGTTTCTTGATTTTGCAAACGTTTCTCAAAATTCTGCTTGTAACTCAATTTTTGGCTGGCAGAATGCTCACTGCTTGATGCAGGAAATTATGCTCCAAATTATGTCGGCATTAAAACTGAGTAATTGGGAATATATTTCAGAATAATAAAGATGCTAGAAGTTTTATATGATCAAGTATTGATGAGACTTGAGGAATTATTCTACTATATATTACCCCAAAGTTCTGATTTTGATATGAGGTAGAGTTTGTCTTTACACACACAATAGTTTTCTTTCACAAAGCTGGCCATGGCAACTGGTCATGCTATATGCTAATGCATACAGACAATGCAATATATACATGCTATGCTAATAAGAGAAAAGATTTCTAAAATTTTAATACATTTCATGAATTTTATGAAGATTATAATTTAAATCTTGTAATTTATATTAAAATAGAGAATTTGTTAAATAACAGAAAATTGTTTTCAAATAAATGTAAAGTTTTTCAAATTTCAATTTTTCAAATTTTTGGTAATTTCAGCCAAAGTGTTCAAGATGGACATAGTTACAGCCTGCTGTTGTTGTTGAAACTGTTGTTGCTGCTCCATCATTGATCTTGTAAATTCTTCCTGTCGCCTTAACTGATTATCCATGAGGTTCAGTTCTCTTTCTCGTAATTCTCGTGCCTGTTCTTGTTCTTTTTTCTTCATCTCAAGTGATCCCTTCAGTACCTCCATCACATCACTGTTCCGTCTCCTCTTTCTCTCCGGTGTAACCAACTCCTCATTCTCTTCACTATGCCGTCTTCTTGTCTCTCCAAAACTCTCCATTGCTTTCTTTCTCATTTCTTCTGCTGTTCCCTTCTCCTTATTTTCTTTTTCTTTGTTACTTTCCAATGTCATCTCACATTCACTCATTCTCTCCAATATATCAACCATTGCTCTATCCCTCTCTGTGTAATCCACATCAATTCCACTTGCACGTTCCTCCATTGCTTCTTTTTGTTTAAAATCTTTCAATATCTTCTCAAACTTCTCCCTCACTGACCTCTGACTAGCCTTCATCCCCATTTCCGACAAATTTTCTGCTATTTTAGTCCAAGTGGCCCCTCTCTCTTTCGACCCTTGTCGATACTGAAATGGCTCCAGTAGCAGAACTTCTTGAAGGAGAAGTTCCTCATGTATTGCCTTCCATGTAAAAACCTCACGCTTAGCAGGAGCATTTGCCATCTGAAACAAATAAAATCACACATATATACATATACATACATACATTATTAAACCTACTCGAGTACATGTGTGTACTTTTAAAGTGTGACTAGTAAATATAAATAATATATAATATAAAAGTGACAAGTCTATGCTGACTAATATTTTCTATATAGCAGGTCACGAGAAAATACAGAAACTTATTTGTGTAAAGTTTCGTCAGTTGAACATTTAAAAAAATGCTATATGGTCACATCTCATTCACTTGAATTTCTGTCACTTGAGCTTAAATATTTTGTGATTGTTAAAGGATACAAAGCCTTTGTCGAGAAGAGAAATATAGAGCTATTTCCAGAGAAATACTTATATTTTGAAGCTCAAATTTTGCCATGTTTTGTTGTTTCATAGGGTTGTTTATGCAAATTGTTGTGCTCGCAACTCCCGTCCCACGGATACCCAGAATATTTCCGGTTTAGTGTACACTTCCGCTCAAAAACTATACACCGGAAAGGCATCGGAGCAAAGATGAAAGAAAATATCAACTTACCTTACTTCTGAAAACTTCGTACTCAAGACAACGAGTTTTGCAAAAAATTTCGTACTCAGATTGGCGCCGGCTACGAGTTTCTCGCGTCAGTACGAGATGGCGTGAGCGCACAACCAGCGTTTCGCGCAAAAATGACGAATTTCGTACTCGTAGTCGTACTCGTACTCCTTGCTAAAACTCTCTAATATCGGTCGGTCGCAGACATTGTCCAACCCATTCGTGAAATTGTCCGACGTAGAGAGGAAACCACCGGACATTCTGTCCGACCAAAGTGAAACTGAGGTTTATTGTTTGTCCGACCCGAGTGAATTGGTGTCCGACCTAACTGTAGCTTTGTCCGACGTAAATCAAAATGTACCCTAGCCCAGGACTAGAGGCTTGTATGTTAAATGAAAAATCAGAGTACTATTGTATAAAAGGTGAACTGGAAATGTTGTTTTAACGTAGTTGAGCGCGGGGCGGCGAGCAAAATGGCGAAGTGGAAAACGGGCTTAAGTTGTCTATATATATATATATATATATATATATATATATATATATATATATATATATATATATATATATATATATATATATATATATATATATATATACATATCCATTCACAAATATGTCCTGCCTTCATTTCTGCATAGCTGCGAAACACCACAGAAATATTAATCGCGCAAAAATAAAACTTTACAGTCTGATATATTATAAAATATAAACACATAGTACTTTCAGTACGTATGTATTAAACATTATGTAGTACTAAAATGTAAAATTTCCTGGTGTTTTTCTTTCCACATTGCCTCCGTATCCTTAATTTGGGCTAAAAATTTTGATCGACAATACACACACACATCAGCGCTCACTGCTCGCACTGTCGTCTGTCGCACATACCTTTAGTTTTTAAAAACACACTTTTCAAAGACTAACTCCACGCTTTCGAAACTCTATCTTTACAAACAGATGAAATAGTTAACTGTGATATTAAGCGTGTTCACTAACACTGTCATGCAACACCCAAAAATGACAAAATACGACGATATTTCAAACTATTTCTTGTTTCTTGTCCGCCATCTTGGAAAAACGTTTGTTACCATAACAACATAAACCAAGAGCCACTTCCGGAAACGGAAGTAATCACAGAATAGAGCATTGACTAAAATATATATTTTAGTTTTTCAATGCAGAGAGTTCAATGGAATAGAGACAGACACCATCTTGGACGGTTGACAAATCGAAGGAGAAGCTATATTATGAATAAGACAAATCGAATGAGAAGCTCTTGGAATTTTTTTGTATGATAAAGTTTTTGATGACAATTACAGTTGATTTCACGAAACTTTGGCCACGCCAATTGCGAGGCTGGTTGGGAATTTGGGAACTATAAACATTAAACACGAGATCATCAAGTTGATTGGAAACCGGCCAATCAAATTCGGAAGTTTCGCATCAAATCAGAGGAGGAATGAGGGTTTTCCCGAAATGCAACGCGCGAATCGTTATTGACTTGTTATTGTTATTGACTTTATTGACACTCCCCTAAAGGGGCTTTTCAGTGACAAAAATATATATACATATCAATTAATTACTATAATTATACATCAGATCCTAAATTCATATAATAAGATCACGCAATTACTTTATACACAAACACAACATCAAATTCTTGACAACAAGATTACAACGTACATCAACATCATCAACAACAACAGCAAAAGCAACAACAACAACAACTACAACATCAACGACAATAACAACGACAACAGAAAAACATGCCCTTAGGCTAACTATCTAGAAATTGCTGAAGCAGTTCCCGTTTCAGTTTAATTTTAAAGCTTGGAATAGATTTGCAAAGTTTTAAGTCAGGGTTAATGTTGTTCCAGAGAGTGACAGTTCTGTAATGGAATGTTCTTTGTCCTGCAGTTGATCTGTATAACAGAACGTCCAGCTGTTTGGTATTTCTAGTATCGCGACCACTCACTTCACCTCTCGTTTTGAACTGAGACGATAAGTAGGCAGGTGCGCAATCATTCATGCATTTGAAAGCTAATAAAGCATCGCGACTGTACAGATGTGACTTCACGGGAAACCAGCGCAGTTCCTTAAGTATCGGGGTGATGTGGTCAAATTTCCTTCTGTTGCTCACTACTCGTGCTGCGAAGTTCTGGACTCCTTGAAGTCGGGATAGGTTGCTGCAGGAGGTATTTGACCAAAGAGAGGAACAATATATAGTAGAGTTTGCTAAATACTAGGGCGTTGATGACAGATATTAAAAGGTTTTTACGGAAGACATGCTTAGCGCGATTTATCTGGCAGAGACTTGACTTGCAGGATGAAACAGTAGAAAGGATATGATTGTCGAAGGAGAGGGTTGGATCAAACTTAACTCCGAGATCTTTCACTGATGAAGCAGGTGTTAGTTTCTTACCAAGTAGCGAGAGTCTAAAATCAGGTAACTTCGCGAGCATTTGGCGGCTTC